TAATGCAGACAGTTGCGCTTTTCGCTTGAATCCCCTTGATGGCTAGTCAGGCTCAGAAATCAGAGCCAATGAATGGTGGTGTCTCTGATTAGCCTACCTTGAACTTGCAAGTTCAACTGAACCCATTCAATAGCTCAAAGCTCAGAAACCTATCACTTCAACCTGCCATAGATGAACCAAGCCCTCCCAAACGCAGCTTAAATGGCGTTCGCCTTCTCGTTCAGCAAAAAAAGTTTTTTTTTCTCGAAAAATGTTTTCCATTAGTGACTAACTCTGCAAAATCCAAATCCCCCGAAAGAATTTCGTCGAGATCATCCGTGTCTGCGGTCTCGTAAGATGTCGGGCTTTCCGTCACCGTCTCGTCGTCGACCGTGTGATTTGGCTGCTCTTCGTCGGCACCCACATCGCCACTTGCATCCTATAACTCATAAATGTGTGAGAATAATTTGGCTTATTCCGCGGAGCTCTGAGAAAGTTTTCTTTTTTTAGCTGTCACTTAGGGAAACGCCCGACTCACCCACCCACGTCAAATCCCTCAACCTCCTCGTACTGGTTTTTGGACATAGGAGGGTGAGGTGGTTTTAAGAGGAAACGCCCTTGATAAGTACACAATGCCCTTATGTCTCGGGCTCCCAATAGCACCCACTTGCTAGAGGATCACTTGAGATTTTATTCGCTGCTGTTCCCGAGCAGGGGATGAATCAGTTACGTGCATATCGGATATCTTGGAAGAGTTCGAGAGTTTGCAAACATTTGGCGTAATATGACCCCGAAAAATGGATTCAATGAAAGGCGATGAGGCGCTTTCCCTCGCTTATCTTCAACTTGACGATTCTCCACTTGAATTAGCGTCTGGGACATTCGAATAAACTGCGAGTTGGCAAAAAATTACGCCTACATCAGATATTGAAATCGCGTGGTATGCGGGGTGATGGCATGGAGTCATTTATCATTAATGTAACCCAAACTTTACGTCATAACTCCCAAAAAGCATGCGAATTTAGAAATTCTATATTTGCGTCAAGCCATAATAATAATCCCACGGAGGTGGTGTAGGCAGCATCAGGTATTTGACTTGGGTACCGTAAGGAACCCTGTAGGGGTGGGAGACTTGTGTGAGTGGGTGTATCACGTGTGGAACCGTCAACCGTAAAAAAAAATACCCATCAATTTCTTTTTGCCAGACTTATGTTTTCATTCACCCTTTCGTCAAGTAAGCTTCGAATTTTCAATGATTACGCCATGGACCTAACCATTTCTCGCCATCGTACATATAATTGAAAGGGTAATCATAAAAACATGAAGCAGCTGATATTACAGCTTTACAAATTTTCTTCCCATCTTTCCCAGGAACGGGTTACCACTCAGATGGTCTCAGGAGTTGAGAACCCATTGTGTGCATATGTGGATATCCAAGATTGCGTCCAGGAACAGGATTTTGTTTTGTAGTGGTCTGTAGCCAGGACCGACAACCTACTCTATCATACATATACAGTAGCGCTCAAAAGTCTTCGGTGAAATGCTTTGGCGCTTTTTCGTTCATAACTTCTTTATTAGTAGACCAAATCGTGCAAAGTTTGGATATGTTTACCAGAGCATATTTCACCCTATCCAACACTATTTGAGTGCAAAGCTACAACACCCACAGATAGAGCAAGGTGTTCGTTGCGGTAGCAGATTTTGCTAAAAGTAAAGTTGTTGACGTCTGCACTTATTCGTACCTTATGAGCGTTTTTCTCTTCTATTGTGTTCGGCGTTACCGCTCGTACACTTTAGACATGACAAAAAGGAAAGAGTTCCTAGAAGGAACATCATCTGTATTTTCAGTCGATTTTGAGTTCATGCTCTTTGGAATATTTGGAACATGATCAGATTGCAGGTTAATAGTGGTAAATATTCACAATACCCCCACGCTCCAAATATAGAAATTTCGTATGATTAGATCCAATAGGAAAGGAGTTACGATTAAAAAGTACGGCTGAAGAACCATTTC